CAAAGCCGGGGGGGGCGGGGGGGGGTGTTTTTTTTTTGGGAAACCCCCCCCCCCCCCCCGGTCAGAAACATTCACCAAGTATTTTTGAACAGGGCTCTAGCTGGAGTGTAACGCCGCGTGCTCGATGTGATGACTTAGAGTCCCTAATAAATATTTGATATCCTTATCATCAGGTGAATTAGTATGTTTCACATATGTGCGCGTGGCGTGCTTAGATCTGTGTGGAAGTCATTTTCTTCTATGCAACATTAAAGCCTGAGCTCTGTTTTTACCATCAGCCAGTGTATTTTATGGGATGGTTTCAGCAGATGTGTGTCAGGCCCTCGTTTCACTCCAGCCTTTCCTGTCCCGTTTTACTGCTCTGACACCGTATTTTTCATGCTTACTCTGTGTCTTTAGACATTTTTTGTAAATCAATCATCATCATTATTTACTAATCTTCTTCCTTTATTGTTGTTGAAGAGGGAAACTCCTTTGTCATCCTGGACCACAGAGGGATTCTACAGACGGAGTCTGTTGGCATTCTGGCAGAGACTCAGTACACCATCTATATTAATGCATACCCGGCCCCGAAAGTGTCATGGATGAAAGACGGCCAAGCGCTGTCAGAGAACTATTACATTTCTTCCAAAACTAGCCACATGGAAGGAAATCGGTGAGCTCAAAGTTTGTTTTTCTTGAACAAAGTGTACAGGAACACATGAGTTATGACTGAAATCCTTGAATTATTCTCACATTTTGCCTCCTAAAAACCACAGACTTCAATCCTGGTCTTATATGTATTAGACCAGGATTTTTATAATTGGGAAGGGGATGAGTGGAATGGGGCGCTCATCAAAGATTTATTTTGTACAAAAATACTAAATCAAAACTAGGCAGCCTTTCCCTTCACAACTATGCACTGCATTATTTTGATGTTTCTGTTTGTTGGTGATTCTGGTTGTATTATAACAACATGTGAAAAGCTCAAATGTAATAAATAATTAATATTTGTCAGAAATTCTTGAAAGAACGTCTGATCAGCTCCGATGTTCTTCACACAGGTATCAGAGCATCGTTACGTTCCGGCAACCTATGGAGAAAGACAGCGGAAATTACACAATCACAGCCATAAGTGGCTCTCGCAGCGCTCACTTCTCATTTATCCTCCAAGTGACGGGTAAAACAAACAGATTGGAAAAATAAATGCTAGACACATGCATAAGTGGGTAACGATTCATAAATTATGACCGAAACTCTTAACACGTCCCGTTTCAGGTTCCACTAGACTTAACATCAGACCATCCTCCCCCCCTATTCTGCTACCGGACGAGGATGAGGTTGTCGTCCCTCTCCACACACCGTTCACACTGACGTGTCGTGGAGGTACGAAGCTGATGTGGGAAACTCCGTACGACATGCTGGAGCAATCGCAGGAGGACAACAGTGGCCTTTTCGTCACCACCATCGCTGTTGACGAAGCGACACCGATGCACACCGGTTACTACGTTTGCCTCTACAATGACCACATCGCAGAGGAAACCAAGAGCAGCAGTATTTACATCTACGTACTGGGTACGGAGCGTACATTTGCTTATGTATTTTTGGTATTTGACATTTTTCTTTGGCTTAATAGACATATTTTACCCCAACCCAGATCCCGACTCTGTGTTCGTGCCAAATTACATTAACCATGTGCCGGTTGATCAAAATGAAATCGAGATTCCCTGCAGGGTATCTGATCCCAGAGCTACTGTGACACTGGTGAATGTTGACACCAACCAAACCATACCTAGTGATTATGACAGTAAAAAGGGTGCTTTGGGAATATTTCCCCCTGGAACTTATGTCTGCAAGGCCATCGTCAATGGAGTGGAGCACACCAGTGAGCAATACATCGTCTATGAATCCATAGGTGCGTGTTTTTGAGACTTGTGAATCATATCTATTTTAACTAAACTGTGACCCAAATGCTCAATGGCTCTCTGATCCCTCACAAGGCTTTTACTGGTATCAATTGCTCCATTTCAGATGTCTTGCACGTTGAGCTGTCTGCCAAAAGAACTGCTTTGCTGGTTGGAGAGACAATAACTGTCAACTGTCTGGCTCAAGGACCTTATTTACTGGAAGACAACTGGAAATACCCTGGCAAACCGGTGAGATCACAAGGCAATCTGTGAAGTCCAATGAGTTTTCCAATCATTTTTACGTGTTTTAGTTGTAAGATAGGACTGACGTAAAGGTATATGATGATCCTTTTTGGTGTGACAGGCTAATCGGGGTACCAAAACTGTACGGGAAAATAAGAACGAAGGTCGGATCCTGTACACCTTGACAATCCCACAAGCCTCAACCAAAGACAGCGGCATCTACTCCTGTTCCATTACCGCCGTAGAGTCTAGAGACACCCAGACAAAAGAAATAGCTATTCAAGTGTTTGGTATGAGTCTTCAGTATTTACTTGCGGTGAATATTTTGTTGCAGTATTTCATCAGGTCATTTTCCGAAGTCGTTATGAACATTGCCGATGACCACTTTTCCAACAGCCGGAGAGTTTTTGTCCATCAAGCCGGAGTTTCGGGACCACGAATCTGCTGAGCTGGATGACGTCCGGGAGTTCATTGCCACAATTTCCTCCTTTCCTGATGCCCATGTTACTTGGCTCAAGGACGGCGTCCTGCTCAGTGACCTGACTGCTGAGATCTCCACCAGTTTGAAGCAGACCAGTGAGACAAGGTTAGTCTCTGTCACTGCTCCTCTGAGGGCAAATGAAGAGCCACCACAAAATGTCTGGTGCTATTTTGAACTTTTGTGGTTTTGAGCTCACATTCTGTTGTTTTTATTTTGCACAGCTACAGAAGTATTCTCACCCTGATCCGGGTCAGGGAGGAGGACAGCGGGAACTACACCCTGCGGGTGGAGAATGGAAACCAGAGCCATGAAGTCAGCTTAAACCTGGTGGTTAAAGGTCAGGAGGAAGACTTCATCTTACTAAATCAATTGGAAATTGATGATACCAGCACTTAGCCACTGTGAAGGCCTGCCTACTGTGATTGACTCAAACCTTGTATTGTTCACAACGTTGCAGTGCCTGCAGTCATTGTGGACCTCATGGACATCCACCATGGTTCCGCCACAGGACAATCTGCGGTGTGCATTACCAGGGGGCAGCCTACTCCTGTTGTGGAGTGGTTCATATGCAAGAACATCAAACAGTAAGATCCACTATTTACTCTGAAAATGAGTATATGTTTGTCTTTTTATTTTTATTTTAAAAAATATGTTCTATAGCCATAACTGGTTCAATTTACATATTCTTATCTCACTCCCTTCAAGATGCGCCAATGACTCGTCTTTTTGGGCGCCTCTACCCACCAACTCTACAGAGATCACCATGGAGTCCCACTTTGATGAGGAGAGCAACCTGGAGAGTCAGGTCATGTTTGGCCATCTGAAAAGCACTCTGGCTGTGCGATGCCTTGCCAAGAATGAAATAGGAGCTGTCAGCAGGGAGATCAAATTGGTGTCCAATGGTAAGAACACACCTACCAGTCAACTGCTTGACTTTAATCTGACTTTAGATGTTCTTTGCAGTTGCAATGAGCCTGCTAATGAACAATGTGAAGTCTTGTCAGAGGTGCAGTAGCTGGAAGACTACATTTACTGGTCTGTGAGAAAGGACAGTTAGGGTGATTTGTGGGAGATAATTCATGGAAACCACAGATTTTAGACCATTTGGTGTAACACCCTTTAGGAGCTAGTTGTCAACACACCTTGTGGTTTGAAACGGCACCTTAAAGGGAAATTTCCATTGAAACACATGATGTATTTCATATCAACCATACATGTGATGAAGAGTGTTCAGAATGTAACATAATGCCATCCCTGGCTTTCCCTACAAACAGGCCCTCACCCTGAGCTGACGGTAGCTGCTGCTGTGCTGGTGCTCCTGGTCATTGTCATCATCTCACTCATTGTCTTGGTTGTTATCTGGAAGCAGGTACTGTCAACATCGTACTGCACAGTTTCACTCCATTCTGTCACTCATTTCCATATTTCAAGCATTCATGTGAGGTTACAAATCAGACCGAGAAACACCAGATTTAAATATAGTGCATTTGGTTTTACTGCTCTGCTTGTTAAAACGGGAAAACCGTGACTTTTTACGTCCTCTGCCTTCCAGAAACCACGGTACGAGATCCGCTGGAGGGTCATAGAGTCTGTGAGTCCAGACGGTCACGAGTACATCTATGTGGATCCCATGCAGCTTCCCTACGACTCCAGATGGGAGTTTCCCCGAGATAGACTTGTGCTTGGTGAGCCAAATGTCTTTATGATGTTCTGGAGCCCTATAGTTCCCTGTGGAGATGTTGCAACTCGTGAATCTCACTCTGCCTTTGAAGTTCGGGCTGTGATAAGATAGCTCGGGTTGAGTGATTTTCTGACAGCTGCCATTCAGTCTGACCCATAGATCAAGGGGAAATGCAACCACTACAAGAGTCACAGATGATAAAGCAGATCGTCTGTGTCTCGTTTCGCCCCGGATGACTGACCCGTGTGCCTTCCTGTAATCCTCAGGCCGGATCCTGGGCTCTGGAGCCTTCGGGAAGGTGGTTGAGGGCACTGCTTACGGACTCAGCCGCTCTCAGCCTGTTATGAAGGTGGCAGTGAAAATGCTGAAACGTAAGTCTACAAGAAGTTTTAATCCAAAAGACAGCTCACCCGTGCCACTAGAAGCCACTGTTTAGTCGCAAATAGCATGAGCTAGTTGACCAGTTTGGTCTCTTCGTCTGCTTCTTCGAGTAAATTATAGGTTTTCAGGCAATGAGGTGAAGCATGTTTACAAAGTCAGCATAAGCATCGCTGACTGCAATTTAAGCAGTTTAAAAGCTGTTGTTTGAGCCATTGGTGATAAACATGACCTACAAATAGCTTCATTGGCTTTGTTCTCAAGGCCTGTGGTGAAAGGGTGTGCTTGTAAAAGTGTGAACTACTAATAGTGTCTTAAATTTACACAAGTAATAATATTGTGCTTTGTGTTTTCTAAACTGGTAAAACTGAAATGTTCACAAGTTGAACATTTAATTTTTCAAAACATTTTCACAGTTCTTTCTTCGTAGTTTTGTTTGGTTTAATGGGGATGAAGACTATAGTTTACTATTTAATGTAATTTGCAAAAGGCTTCACTCATACATAGTCCTTTAGCCGTAAATCCAATATGTTCATTTGTCCTCAGTGGTCACCTAGGGAACAGTGTATACTTATTGCTTATAATTTAGCCTCGGTCTCACCACCCCAAACAATTTTACTGGGATTATATGTGATAAACAGCAGAAGACAAAGCAGTACATTTACTAAAAATGGAAGGTAAAGCATGGCTTTCAAAACCTTTCTGGTTACCATTTTTGCTCTACTTGCTGTTGATCTCGCACATTAAATCCCAACAATAAAACTTGGGTTTGTGGAAAAAGTTTAACTGGTGTGGCCACTTTTGCAAGGGATTGTGAAAATAACCTGTTAGCAGTCTAGATGCCTTTCATTTACTTATTCACAATATACCAGCACTGAAGGTGATGTTGATTTTTTAAAGAATTATTATTGTTGTTTAGAATTTTGTGTTTTCATATAAACAGATCAAAAGCAAATATTTACAGTGATACACTGAAGATTTTACAGAAGTTTCACAGCTCTTTGCTTTTTATTTTAATTTAAAAAAAAAACACCAGTAAGTACTCAAGTTTTCTTGCACCAAAATTGTTGTCAATACGTTTCCAGTTGTTGTGATCATTCAGAAAACATTTTATTTATTGACAGTGTGTCTGTCAGTAGCACCAATCTGTCAAATTAAACCAACGCCGTTCTGTTATGTTAGTTCAAAGTCTTCTTCTGAAACGGTGACATGTTTGGATTTTACTATTGTCCACACCGCTCTCACAACAAATTGCTGAAAAGATGTAGCCATAGCAACACCCTCAAAAACAGGATTGAGTGGGGACAGCAAGAGTCTCCCAAGCGAACAAAGATAAGAGTAAGGAAATTATTCTGATCAAAGAGATAGCTGGTGCATGATTTGATGAGTCGTCTGTGCGCCGACTGGGTCGTGTGATAGTCATGGCTGCTGCACCTTCTTCCAGCCACGGCTCGCTCCAGTGAGAAGCAGGCTCTGATGTCTGAGCTGAAGATCATGACTCACCTCGGACCTCATCTCAACATCGTAAACCTCCTGGGAGCGTGCACCAAGTCAGGTGATAAAAGCACACGCAAGAACAGCAGACATGTTCGCTCAAAGACGGGCTGTGTAGCAGTGTGTTACTGCCGTTGTCGCTTCTTTCATGTGATTTAGTTGCCACTTTACAGAGACACGCACGATTATTGCCTCGTTCACACGCACACACAGAGACACACACTCGAATTAGACCGTAGGAGACATTTACAGTGCCTAACAGCCGCAGCGGACTGACAGCTTTTGGTGGGCGTGCTATTTTAATAGGCTTTTTATGGGAAAGTAGAGGCTTGCTCTCCTGGCTGTGCTTTTAGCCTTTATGAGGCTCTGATAAGATTAGCCTGCAGACTGACGCCGGTGCACGCCTTTATCTTCCGTGCTGTTCCCAGGCCCTATCTACATTATCACCGAGTACTGCTTCCACGGCGACCTGGTCAACTATCTGCACAAAAACAGGGAGAGCTTCCTCAGCCTGAGTCCGGAGAAAAACAAGAAGGAGCTGGATATCTTTGGGATCAACCCTGCGGACGAGAACAGCAGGAGGTACGGCGGCCAGAGCAGTCCAGTGTGCTTTTTCTTCTCTCAAACGATCTTGTTTTAATCTGAGTCTAAAACAAGACTTGTAATCTTGTTTTAATTGTTGGTTGCAAAAATTAACATTGGGAGAAGACACAAAACCACGTGAAAAAGTCCTAAGCGGTAACACAATCACCATTTTCTCAGCGGTGGAGGATGCTGTCCGGCATCTTCCCCTAATCAGATCAAACCTTCCAGTGGTTTTATGTTTCAGCCTATAATGCCATTGCTGCTCAGCTACCTGTTAACTGTATCTGTGCAAACGTTCAGTGAAACATCAGCCTGTCCTCCCCTTTTTAAGGGGCATCTTGTGCTGATGGATGACTCACAGTGGCCACGCCTCAAAACACCCATAAAATGATTTAATCCTGGCCGTTACGTTCGCCTCAGCCCAGTTGTAGCATCTATTAGTTCTTTTAGTTCCTTAAACTTTTCCTCATTTATGTCATAGCACAACCACAAAGTCAAGGTATTTCATCAGGATTTTATGCGACTAAGAAACGCAAAGAACAGAATAATTGTGAAGAGGAAGAAAAAAGAATTTTTTTTTTTTTTTACAATCAACAATATGAAAAGTGTGTCTTCCAGTGACATTTGTATGCCGGATCTTTAACTCCGACTCACCTAAATAAAATCCAATACAACTGGTTGCCTTCAGGAGGCCAGAAATTGATCACCTGTGCAATAATTAATCTTATTAAAACTCCTCCTGTTCTTTGAATAAAGTACTGTTTGAGAACATAAGATAAGAGACTGCAATAAAAAGCAAAGAACACAGCAGACAGGTCAGTGATAAAGTTTTGAAGAAGTCTGAAACAGTCCTCCAATCCCTCATCGTAAAATGGAAAGGTTTTTGTACGACTACCAAGATGTCGTCATCCACCATGCATAGCATTTATCAGAAAAGCATCCAAGAGCCTCCCAGGAGCTAGAAAGGTACTCTTACTTGTTGGCTACGCCTTCCAAACATCTTTTTTTTTTTTAGGAATAAGGTAGGCGGCAATGAGAAAGGAATAAGAACTCCTGTTTGCAGCCATGTAGGTTCTTTTGGTTAAAACAAACATGTTTTATTTCATTAGTGAAATGAAATAAAACAGAACTTTTTGACTACATGGAAAACAGCTGGCATCAAAATAACCAATGACCACACCAGAGATGACTTCATCACGCTAGGCAGGGGTAGGGAAGCTGAAAAGAGTTGAAGGGAGATAAATCACGGTAGAAAACATGTTAGAAGAGGCTGCAGTGGAGGTTCGCCTTCCAGCAGGAAGACATGCAGAGCGTGGAATCAGAGCTACAACCTAATGGCTTACATCAAAACTATTTTATTGCTTAAAATGATCCAGCATCTCTGGAAACAAACCGATGTTCACAGATGCTCTCCACCCAGTCTGACTGAGCTTGAAGTATTTAGCAAAGATTAATGAGAAAAAAACAACAACTTCCATGCAAAACATTTTTGGTGACATTTATCACACGAAATTTAGCTTTAGCATAATAAATGGTAAAAAAAAACACATAAAAATATATATTTTTTTGTTACACAAATCAACATTCTCTCAGTTCGCTGCCATCAGCATCTCTTCCTCTCTCGTCTTTGCTCCCAGTTACGTGATCCTGTCCTTCGAGTGTAAAGGAGACTACATGGACATGAAGCAGGCGGACAACACCCAGTATGTGCCCATGCTGGAGATGAGCACAACCTCCAAGTACTCTGACATCCAGGGATCTAACTACGACCACCCTCCTTCGCAGAAAGACTCAGGCGGTGTGTACGCAGCTCCACTCTGTCTCTCTCTCTCTCTCTGTCTCTTTCTGTCCTCAGAGTTATTGGCTCTCGCTCGCTGGGCCTTGGTGTTGTGTTTGAGTCATTGTTGGTTAAACGGGGTACACCCTTGTCAGAATTTAGGCCTGGCAGTGGCCTGTAATTACCCGGAGAAGATAATTGTAGCGCACACATAATAATGCCCAGTTTGAGGCTGCCATTAAAAGCCAGGTCTAAGAAAAGTCGGCTATATTTACGACTGAACATTTACTCACGGGTTCCCTGATGGTGTGTTTTTCCCGACCAGAATCCGACAACCTGCTGTCAGACGACATGAGCGAAGGCCTCACGACCACCGACCTGCTCAGCTTCACCTACCAGGTGGCCAAAGGGATGGAGTTTCTCGCGTCCAAAAACGTACGTCTGAAGAAAGCCGGTGCTCTGATTCCCGAGGCTATAAACGGAATTTTGCAGATTTTGCTTTATGCTCCATAAGACGAAGTGCCCAGGGAGGCGTATGATAAGCAGGCCCATAAAGGTTGCCGAAGCCGCTCAGGAGAGAGGCCAGACGCCGAATATAGCAGCAGCGAAGCTAGAGCTAGAATTACCAGGCCGAGCCGCGCTGCAGCCAGAAACTATTCATCCAACTTCATAGTTATTATCCCTAAATATCCCAGTGGTCATGGCCATCTCTACCAACCAGCCTGTTTACGCGACGTTTATGCTTCATAAAGCAAAATGAAACAGTATTAAAAATGACCTTGGCTGAAAGAGCGACACAGGAATAGTCTGCGGCTGTGGGAGCCGAATGTGCTGGAGCAAACGGATGACAGCGACTCCTTCACGCTGCTAATCGACTTCTGTTTTTGACAGTGCGTGCATCGGGACCTTGCAGCCAGGAACGTCCTTCTCTCTCAGGGCAAGATTGTTAAGATCTGTGACTTTGGGCTGGCCAGAGACATCATGCATGACAACAACTACGTCTCCAAAGGAAGCGTGAGTGTCAGCTCAGACATGAGCTTCTAGCTAAGCCATGCAGCAGTTTAATGATACTAATTCCTTTCATTACATCTCTTTCATAATAGACCTTTTTGCCGGTGAAGTGGATGGCCCCGGAAAGTATTTTCGACAACCTGTACACCAGTCTTAGCGACGTTTGGTCATATGGCATCCTGCTCTGGGAAATATTCACCCTGGGTACGTTTTTAAAACGACTTCAGTTCATAAATTCATAAATTAGTTGATGTAGTGATAAATATGAAAAGGTGCTTCAGTGTGGTTCATATTGAACACCCGCGTACAAATCCCCAAAGCCGGGTGTATTTTTTAAATGACTCCTTAAAAAAATCTGGCTGCCACTCAATATTAGCCATAAGACATTAATGATACAAATGGTTTTCACTGAGATATTAAAAAGGATGGTGGAGAATTATAGAAAAACCTTACTTGCGGGGAAAAAAATAAAATAACTTCCTTGGTGTTTTTTTAAGTGTTCAAAGTAGATGATCTTTGAGGCTGAATCTACATGCTAGCTAGTAGGTAAATACCAAAGTGGACTTTTACCGTTTTAAAACGAATCCAACCTAATAAAATAAAAAAAACAAAAAAAAAAAAACAAACACGTTCATATTATTATTTTAAATTAAGTAGACATTTTAAGTTAACCCTTGTGTCTACAAATGGGGTCCAACCGACCCCACACACGTAAAACTTGTGTCATTTGCCTCAGTCCTCGCACGCACAAGGGTTAAGCAAAAACAATCAATGTACATTCATGTATTCAGTATGTAAATGAGCTAAATTAGGCATATTTCTGACCAATTCTGATAGTGACAAAGTAAATCAAACATAATCCTGTGTGTGTGTTGAATTGGCATCAACGTGTGTCAGTAGAGCGTCGATGCGGTGGCTTGAGATGAATTTGTGACAGTTGCCTACAAAGCATTAAACCATCATCGCATTTTCATTGGGTGTTTGTTAAAGAAGAAGGTGGAGCACATTTACAAAGCAGCTGGAGGTAGAAGGTGTTGTCCGTTCTGAAACGCAGTGAAAACGGAATAGGAAAGTAATACGATGTAGAGAGAAATAATATGGTAGTAAACACTTTTATTGACTTTTCCGACACTTAGTCCATGTGTTCATGATTCACACAGAGGGATTATTGTTGGTGCAAAACCTACCTCTATTTTCCATTAAACATTTATCAGCTTCTGTGTAAAAACTGCACAATAGAAACTCAATGACAGCTGAAAAGCTAGTAAAAAAAATGTAAAAATAATTTGTATAAACCGTCATGATGAATTTGAGTTTATAGCAGTGTTGGTCCCTCTAAGACTAGCTGTTAGCTTCGGTTCAACCTTCGCTTTTAGTGTGATGTGGATTCACACTAAAAAAATAAGTCACTGAGTTAGCAACTGCTTGTAATAAAGTAAAAGTTTATGATCTTTTAACATAACCTACTTAAAAAAATGTTTTTAATTAACAAAGAGCTCTTCGTTGTAGAAATATTGCCTTTATTACTTATTTGCACAGACGTTTAAAGCACTCTACACGTTTATTGGCACTTGCAAAAAAACGTTTGCAGGTTTTGTTTTAAGAAAATTAGCACCTATGATTCAGCTACATTAAGTAAGCTAGAAAATGAATATTTCAGTGGCCCATATTTGGCACACTTAACATTACTTCTGTAAAATATTGGTAAATTCAATGCTTTTGAATATGTGCTTACATTTTGTATCCAATTTTCATGGTTTGCTAATCAGACATTAAAAAGTTATTGTTAAACAAGCTGCTCCAGGATCCTCTTGTGCTACGCAGAACTGGGATAAACTATTAATGTTTTCCCTGGTTATAAATACGATATGACAAAGAATGCAACGTCTGGTTACTCCACAAAAAAAAAATAAATAAAAAAATAAGGACAAGAAAACATTTTCATTTCAAGCCAATGTATGCTGATCATTCATTAATCATGAAATTGCATCAAGAAAATAATACTCATATCTCCAGTCAGAGGAGCAACTAAGAAGGTCAGGATAATTTCAACTTTGACAAAACAGAATAAAAAAAAAAAACAAAACAACTGGACACAAACTGAAGTTTATTTTGCCAATCTGAAGAGTGAGCAGGTTGCCAAGGAAGGTTAAAAAATAAAAATGAAGAGCTACAAAGCTCAGTGTCAGAGAATATTTACCTTAGATTGTGTTCCTGCAGATAAAGAGGAGTTATTTTAAGGCGCTATATATGACCCGCATCGATCAAAGTTTTACTACGTGCAATAAAGTGAGAAAAAGCTACTTGACGACAGCAGCCGGCTCTCAGTCATAAATAACCGTCTCTTTGTGTGAAGGTGGCACTCCGTACCCGGGGATGGTGGTGGACTCCAGCTTCTACAACAAGATCAAGAGCGGATATAGGATGTCAAAACCTGAGCACGCGCCGCAAGACGTGTACGTGACCTCACGTTGTAGGCAATGCCGTATCTGTCGAAACCTCCCCGACGTCACGCCAAACGACGTCATTTCTGAGAGCTCTAGTGTGCCAATGACTGAAATTGCAAGGCTTGGGTTGCGCCGTCCTTTTTCAGCAATGTTGTGTGCACCTTTTTCAGGTACGAGATGATGATGAAGTGCTGGAACACAGAGCCGGAAAAGAGGCCTTCCTTCATGGGTCTGAGTGAAAATGTGGCGTCTCTGCTGCCCTCCAGCTACAAGAGGGTGAGCGTTCCCATCTCTTCCCGTCTCAGTTGCTCTCTGTGTCTGGAACACCTGCTTCGCATGTTTTACCACCACTCATTACTGACCGACACGTTCCGCCCCCCCGTCTTAGTTGTTTTCATTCTTGGGTCGTTTTACTGGTCTTGTCGCCAACTATTTGCTGAGCAAAATACAAGTTCAGAGTCCTTTCTCCCCTCCCCCTGTTAAAGCTGCTGGGTAGTTTAAAGGCCAGTCCACATCCTCTGTGAGAGCACTGGGAGGGTTCCTGGAGGCTCTCTCCCTCCATCTGTGTAAAAGTGATTAGAGCCTTAATGCTGCAGCTGGATGGTCATAGTGGCTGGCCTCAGTCTGGGTAATGACACAGCCTCGGTTCTCGCCTCCACCACCCAGCCTTAATTAGACTTCCACGCCACATATTGTGCGTCAGAACAGCTTTGCCCCTGTCCTACTCCCAGTTTTAATGGCCACCAGTTCAGGAGCAACCAGGCCTTTTGCACGTTTGGTTTGGCGGGGATGTTTGTGATTTCCAGCTCGGGTCACACCATCCAGCTGATGACAAAATCCTCACACACCAATCCTTCTCTCTCTACAGAGACGTATTTTCTGTTGACGTCTGCACACCCCGATGACTACGTTCCATCCGCATTTAATCTTTGCAGCACGAGACGTTTAACAAGTGTCTATTTTAGAGCAGCTTCTTAAATCCACATGCTGTTCTCTTATGCAGCACTATGAGAAGGTGAACCACGATTTTTTGAAGAGCGACCATCCCGCCGTTACCCGAGTCTGCATCGAGACGGACGCGGACTACGTCGACATTCCCTACAAGAACCAGGGGAAGCTAAAGGACAGGGAAAGTGGCTTCGACGAGCAGCGGTTGAGCTCCGACAGCGGCTACATCATCCCACTCCCTGACCTGGACCCTATATCTGATGATGACTACGGAAAGAGGAACAGACACAGGTATGCAGTCATTATTTTGTTATCTGCAAATGCAGTGCATTGCGAAATGACTCTTATCTTGTGAACTTTTTCACATTTTCTGACTTTATAGCAACATGTTGGTCTGTTATAGAAAAGTCCAATAACCCTGAGATCCAAAGCTCATTTTAGACAATCACCAACAGGCAATATGACATCCCATAAACATGGTTTTTATGGAAAAGTGGCCAGAGGACAGTACTTATTTTAAAAAATCCCAGAAGGCCAAGCAAAACATGGAAACGGTTTGAATGAACTGAGCTTTGGGTAATCAATGAAGAAAACCTCTGAACAATGCGTTTCCATTGACCACATAATTGCACAATTTGACAGTTTGAAAATGAATTTGCTTGTTAGAAACATGCAAATTTATTTTTCAATGAAAAGTTGAAGACGGTTTTAGCATCACACAAGTCACATGATCAACTACTGGATGTTGCCAGAGGCGCAAACCATGAAGAAGACGACAGGAAGTAGTTGGGAGGATGACGGCGCTGCATGCTTTTTAAGGATTTATCACCTAAACAAACTTATTCACGTGCGATTTTAATTGCGTATTTTATTTAATTGATACAATTGCAAAATTGTGTTTTCTGGACCTCAGCGGAATATCAACACAGTTTTGGTCAGATTTGTAATGGAAACGCAGCTACTGCTACCTGCAAACCGACAGTATTTTTGGAAATTGGTTGGGGAAAAATCAATTGGGGAAAAAGACAACACCATCAAGACACAGAGAGTCAGCTGTAGATGACATGTCAGGCCACTATATGCATGCAGTTTCACTCTGAGACCTGGTTTCAAAAAGTGTCAGCGTGAGAGACTCCGGTCACTGCTGTTGTGTGTACGTACACGACGCCAACGGATCACAACAAAAACGTTACTTTTTAACTGAAGAGCAGGTTTGTGTAAACGGGCCACATCCTGAATTACAATCCAGTGGTTTGGATCAATTCATCATAATGTTTATTAACAGTCCTGTGAAAGTCTACACCTTAAATCCAATTATTACTAAATAATTTTCAATAATCGGTTGAATGATCCCGGTCAACAGAGGCTTTCCATCTAATCTGAGCTTGACGTGTGTTAGAAAGAAGAACGGGCCAAAATTAGGTCACTTTAAATAAAAATAGTTTTGCTGTAGTTCTGTGACAAAAAAAAACAAACAAAAAAAAAAAACTAACAACGATGTGTTATTCTCTCCCTGTGTAGCTCTCAAACGTCTGAGGAGAGCGCCATTGAGACTGGCTCAAGTAGCTCCACCTACGCTAAGCGCGAGGGCGAGACCCTGGAGGACATCACGCTGTTGGACGAGATGTGTCTGGACTGTAGCGACCTGGTCGAGGACAGCTTTCTGTGACAGCTGCCCAGCCTCAGCAGGAGTGGCACGAGGCAGAGCTGCAAGGACAATGGGACACTAGAGTGGGACCTGTAAATCAGCCAAAGACTCTGGCCATGACACTCCTTCCGCAAGGACAGAACAAAACCACTTCGCAGTCTCGGAGAGTCCGAGGTGACGTAAGGTACGCCCATCCCTACTCCGTGGACGACGACTCTTTCTTTTGTTTTGGCAACGGAGATGGGGATGAGCAATAAAGAAAGAGTGACTGAAAGAACGGATTCCAAGAGGGAGCGAGTCTTGGTGTTGGACCTATCCAGATCAAAATCAGAAAAAAAAAACATCTTCCATTTGAAAAGCTTTATTGTGTTGGGCATTCTTTTACCTGCAGTTTAAGCAAGAAGGAACAAATCGAACGTGTTGGTCAGAAACTTTGCATAACTCCTACAACATACCACTACAAATGCACTATTGTTACTATACGACTCCAATACCAGGAACTGTATTATGAAGAAGTAGGAACTGTTACAAGGGAAGCACCTGATGCTGGCACAATCAGTAGCAATACTTTGAGATAAAGCACAACGTTTGGACTGAGTGCGTCTTTTTTTCCCCCTCTCTCTCTGTGACTATATAATGTTCTCAAATAGCTAAGTATGTGCAGTAGTTCAAATTTATTTTTTTACGTCATCAGTATAAGAACATGTATTGTTGTGAAACCAATAGTTAGCAACGGATCGTAGCTGTCTGAGTGGATGCGAGAAGAGCTTTTGAGTTGCATTAGTCTTTGCATAGCCTCTCCGTTTCTGTCCCAAACACACACACACACACACACACACACACACACACACACACACACACACACACACACACACACCCACACACACACACACACACACACACACAGACACACACACACAAAAAAGATCTTCAGCTTTATTCCAGATAAAGACCTAGCTCATATTTGACATGTGGGCCTGTTTTTTGTTTATTTTTGTTGTTTTTTTTCCAAATGAAGTGTGATTGTAATGTAAATAGCTCCAGAGTTGTTTTATAAGAGAGAATTACTGGGGGTAATACTCAAGTATTGTATGCGAGTACAAAAAAAATAAGCTTCTGCATCCGTATCTGCTACTATGAAGACACTGTTTGTATAAAATACATCTGTTAGGTCTACAGAACACCATGGGGACATCTCAGTGAAACGTGTGGATTAGAACAAATCGTGGGCTGGTTTGAGATTCCAGGGTACTCGCACGAAATTTCTTAATTGAAACATATGGCATGTTACAATGGGATTTCTTTAAAATAATTAATATCGCTTCAAAAATTGAATTGCATATTGATGATTGAAGTTATAATATTTATCTAAAACATTTTTTTGTTAATTTGATTCATAGACTTATGCAAAAAAAAAGAAGATAATAATCATGACAAATTTAATTGTGGCTTTATTGGACAGAACAGCATTTTCTTTTCGTTTTCTTTTATAAAGCAAGACCAGTTTAAAAATTTTAACTGCAAACAAAGTGAAATACTTCTAAAGGTGTAGGAAAGTGAACTACCCTTCCTTCAGCCTGCTGACCGGCAGTGTGCAGCAGCAGGTGGGAGGCGTTAGTTAATGCTCCACAGCTGAAGAACACTTTGATCACATCACTGGAAGAGGGACTTTAAGTTGGAGGAATTGTATGATGGGAAATTTTAGCCTTTGATATTGATACCAGCCCATGCTTTGTTAGAAGACAGCTTGAAAAACAGCAATTGACACTTTTAAAGAGATGGACTGAAGTCCAAGCAGAAGGCTTTTAGCATCTACATCCCTGGGAGCTATAAAATGAAATGAATCAAAGTCAAGGTAGTATTTAATCAAACATAATACCTGCCAAAGACCTTTTATCATGTCGTGTTTCAACTGTCTTTGCCATTTTGACCTCCAGGAGCTTCTAGCTAGCCCTAATGAGACATTACTATTGAATTCAACGTATTGTGGTACATCTGTTACATGTGTTACCCCACCGCCATCTTCTCGCTTTACTGTACCTCTGCCTCATCCCGTTGACTGTGATATAAACTACAATCATTGTTGCACTTTGCTTTTTTTCGTCCCATGTGTCTAATGTGTTGCAGATGAATATGTAAGCGGAGCCTAAAATACTGTATTCTTCCTTTGCCTCAGCTGTATAAAGCAGTGTGGATGTGAGTGTCTGTGAGTGATGTGTTGATGATGGTACTCTATCTGTAGTCAAAGATTATCACACCCAGTATGACCTTTTAATACTGTTTCATTATTTGACATCATGTACATTCAGATGATTTATATTTCAATAAATGATTTATAATGTAAACAAACGCCAGGTTCCATTTGTCTCCATTATTAATACGTCTGATACGGGAAAACGAAAAATGAGGCATTTCGGAAACAGATAAAAGTGGGTGGTTTATTTTTTATTCTCAAAGACATTCTATGCTAGAAAAATAGGAATTCATTGGGAAGATGAATGGGGCTCATTTTTATGCAGGAGTTTCATATTTTGATTCACCAATGCTACATAAATTCTGGAGTAGAGCAGAAACAGATAAGCCCTCTTTCTTATTAGTGTTTTCTTAAAATATTAAACACTAACACATACTGCATGAGAGACACAGACTTTCTGTACTTTGGATAATTTATCTAAGAGATCCATGATCAGTTGAACATGTTGGCCTAAATATGTTGTAACTTTCATATTAACTTAAAAATTGCTGTCTATGAGTCAAAACTCATTATTACTTCCAAAAATGTACATCTTTTACTATATTTTTCATCTATGGAGGTCGCCATTTTGTCACCAGCTGTGTTGATCTGTACTGGGATCTACAGAGTAAACACAGCAAGGCTAACTTTACCCGAGTTGTCTTATCATATTGTGTTTGACTGGTGTAATTTCAGATAATTGCCACACTGTGTCGCTGTTGTCTGTGATTAAAAAAAAAGAAAGAAAAAAAAGATAGCTAGGTGAGACTGCATCGCTTCCCACATGAAAAAAAGAGCGCAGGCGAGAGCCCAACACATCTACTGAAGCATCTATTTGTGCTCTCAACATTTCTCTCCAGAAGACTTTGAGTCATTTGTATAAGCAAAACTAATGGAGGATCTAACGGCATTTGGTTTTAGCTTCACAAGCTAACAACTGTCTTTATCCAAAGAGCGCCTAATCCGCTGCCGCTGGAGCTGCAGAACTACTTAGCGGCTCACACTGAGGCACGTGTCATTCTTTGTTTAAGTTATAAAACTAAAGGCGGCAGCAGCAGCAAAACACCAGCTTCTTCAGCTCTTTGTCCTCTTCCTCTGTTTGGTCTTCTTCGTCTTCAGTACCTCTTGTGATTTCTACATTCCCATCAATTTCAACTGGTCCCAGTTCAATTTGAAAAGTCTTAACGTTTTAGCTGGACGGAGCTAGCGACGTCGGAACTATAGCGTAGGTCTTTTATCCATAATGCATTGTAGCATAAACATGGCGTCGTCTGTGTGACAATAATATTTGATTAAAACAACTAAATAACCTACAGCGTTATTACTGTATTATTTTTTTTTTACATCTAAATTAAATATTTCTCAAAGTCTATTGTTATTGTGGATCCCAGAAAAGAAGGACTACATGCACCAATTTAAAATGTTCCATTAAATTGATCATATTTACATTCATGTCACTGAAGATTGTTTGTAAACTTGTGACTGGGATTTTACCTTATACTTTCTCTATAAAAATCATCCATCCATTTTCTGTACACTCTTGTCCTTTAGTGGGGTCAGGAGGTGCTGGTGCCTCTCCAGCTAACGTTCTGGGCAAGAGATGGGGTCACCTGGACAGGGCACCAGGCTGTCGCAGGGCAACACAGAGACTGACAGGACAAACAACCATGCACACACACACACCTAGGGAGAATTTAGAGAAACCAATTAACTGGAGTACCCAGAGAGAACCCACCATGCATTGAGAGAACATGCAACTCCATGCAGAAAGACCCTGGGCCAGGAATTGAACCCACAACCTTCTTGATGCAAGACAACAGCTCTACCAACTGTTCCACTGTGCAGCCCCTATATAAAAATCATAATCCGTTTAATTATAACTCATGTTTTATAAGCTCACTATGTTTATTTATGATTTATGCAATTAAAACACAAAATACAAGTTTCAGATAAATGTAATAAGATATTTGTCCTATAAAAACAACATCAAAATTTTCTATCAACAACTTTATCAAAACGTAAAAAGAGAAATTTTCCAACGTAACAAAACAGCACTTATGTGGAATAAGTTTGTTCCCCTTATCTCTCCAGTGAATGAAAGCAGAGGAAATTGCATTTTATCTGCACGTCAAGGTTGCCTTTGCAACAAACTTCAACACAAAGATCACCATTCTTTCACTGCAATTAGCTTTGTGGAGTAAACTCCTCATCTGTGGAAATTGTAATATTTCCGATGCATTTTTCAGACCCCGAGAAAGCAGATCTTGTTGTTACGTGCTTCCTCCACTAGAGGGAGACAGTGTACAGATAATGCTTACTCGGGCGTTTGGCGAGAAAGGGGATGTTGGCAGACACAATGCAGAGATGAAGCCAGCCTACATCAGAGGTCCCCATTCATTGAGCAGTCTCTTAGTTTTGACCTTTGTGCTGTAATGCGGATGAAGGAGGATTGTGAAGATGTAAGTTGGACACCAAAAACCAGCTAATCATACAGCTTCTCACTGTTTGCTGGCATAAGTATCTTATAACCTCTGGTTATTTTTCTAACCTTTCTTGGATTTTCATCATATAAACATTTTGTTTAATTGTCCTGTTTATTTGCTCTTGCTGGGTTGTTTTTGCCAAGTTTTCTTTTTGATTAAACTCTCTGGTAGTCCTGAAATTGAAACATGTAGTGCGCTCTAAAGCATAAATACTTCCTCCAAGCAACAGGTGGAACTCTGAAAAACAAGTAACAAATCAGCCAAGGCTGGATAAACAAGTAATAATATTCAATAGAGATGTACCTTAGGGCTGTATTTTAAGCAGAGTTGCACCTGAACAAAGCAGATGAGAAAAAAGAAAGATCAGGTTTTTCCTTTCATGTTTTCATAAGAAGAATCTACAGATGGGCTAAGAAAGCAACAAAAATCTTCACATCTGGCGTCCAATTACAGGCTGTTCAAAGGACACCTGGTCTGAACTTTATCAGCATGTGCATGAAAAGGGAAGAAATAAATGTCATAACACCCAACATTATTTCAATAAATGTCAGGAGAATATTCTGATGTTTTTTTTCTTTATTTGCAAACAGATAACCATGTCCAGATTAACCACAGAGAAAGCTTT